GAGCGTCGGCGTCACGGCGAAGCTTCCTCCACGCTTTTAGCAATCCGAATTTCTTACTGTTGATGGTGGCAATGGCGATTCCATATTCTCCACTCTTTTTCTGCCTTTTTCCCTTTGTGAAGTGAAGCGTCTTCTTCACTACATGCCGTTGTTAAAGTGATTTCTTTTGCCCCGTCGTTATTATTTCTCGGCATTACCCTCTCTCCTCCAATGCCGCCGGCTCTCTCTCTCTCATCCTCCGCGTAAAGGTTTCTCTCTCTCTCTCTCTACTCTTATCTTTCCGTCTTCGTTGTCGCTGTTGATTTCTTGAGTCGTGCTACTTTCTTCTCTCCGTTTTCTTTACTTGAGCTCACGAGATAATGAAAACCCTAGCTTTAGATTGTTCTCTACGCACATCAGATCTGTCAAATTTCCCCTCACACGAAGCTTCTCGTGACGAATTTAGCAGCCTCCCTCAACTGGGTTTCGGAGATTGGCACGAGATTTGCATCACTGAGTGAGCAGTGATGCTGAAACTCGATTCTTGTTCATCATCCTAACAACTCGCTGCCATTTTTGTGATGTTTGCTGAAAGCTTCCTTTGTTTTTGCCTTTTTCTTGCTCAGATTACTTTCTCATTGGATTATGATATTTGCTGCGGCATTCTTTGCAGCTTTTAGAGAAGTCCCAGCCTGCAGCTTTAGCTTTTTGCTTTATGGGGAATGGATTATGTCTTTGTTTTTTCCCCCTCTTTGCAATGACTTCATTAGGGGTCCTAATGATTACTGAAAGAAGCTTTCTGAATCTGCGTATCGTTTTGATCTTCTCTTCCAATGCCTGTGAAGTGTCGGATCCTGTTACTTTTCTCTCCAAGGTTCTTAATGAAACAATGAAACCAAAACCAAAACGAAACTGATGTTTGGGGCATTCTGACAGGTAAACAAGGAAACCTTGGTGACTTGCTGAGAGCTTGCTTGAGAGTGATCTCCGACAATGCTGGAGTCAGTTGTTTCAGTGCTCTTTTTCCTTGTGCTCTCGTCTACAATGGCGGACATACAGTCAGACAGCGAAGCCCTGCTTGAGTTTGCATCTCTGGTTCCTCATGGGCGCAAACTCAATTGGAATCCCTCCAATCCTATCTGCGATTCTTGGACTGGTGTCACTTGCTCCCAGAACAAAACCCGTGTGGTCGCTGTCCACTTGCCTGGATTTGGACTAACTGGACCTATACCCGTGAATACACTCGGCAAGTTAGATGATCTCATGATCCTTAGCCTACGTTCCAACAATCTTCATGGCAACATTCCATCTGATCTTGTTTCCCTTCCTTTCCTCCGTTCTCTGTACCTTCAGGACAACAACTTCTCTGGTAATATCCCTTCTCATCTTTCTTCTCGCCTTTTTTTTCTCGATCTGTCCTCCAACTCGCTCTCGGGAACAATACCCACTAGTCTGCAAAACCTCAAACGTCTCACTGGTCTGAACCTGCAAAACAATTCTCTTACTGGGCCAATCCCTGACCTCCCTCCAAGCATAAAACACTTGAATTTGAGCTTCAACAACCTGAATGGGTCGGTTCCATCTTCTGTCAAGACCTTCCCTGCTTCCTCGTTCGAAGGCAACAGTCTTTTGTGCGGCCCTCCTCTGGATCCATGCCTAGAACCTACCACTGCACCTTCTCCTTCTCCACCGCCAGGCCCTGCTGCTAATGATAAGTCCAAAAGGGCCCTAACCACTGGAGCTCTCATTGGTATTGCTGTCGGCGGTTCGTTTGTGTTGTTTCTCTTACTTGTCATTCTAACCCTGTGTTGTTCAAAGAGAAGAGATGACCAAGGCACTACCGTGCCAAATGCTAAGGCTGTGAGGGGAGAGAACAAGCCAGAGGACTTTGGAAGCGGAGTACAGGAGGCTGAGAAGAACAAGCTGGTGTTCTTCGAGGGGAGTTCATATAACTTTGATCTCGAGGACTTGCTCAGAGCCTCGGCCGAAGTTCTAGGCAAAGGGAGCTACGGTACAACGTATAAGGCTATCTTGGAGGAGGGAACCACGGTTGTCGTGAAGAGGCTGAAAGAAGTGGTGGCGGGCAAACGGGAGTTTGAGCAGCAGATGGAAGCCATGGGACGGATCAGTCTGCACCCGAATGTTGCCCCTCTCCGTGCGTATTACTTCTCCAAAGATGAGAAACTCCTCGTGTACGACTACTACCCGGGTGGAAACTTCTCCACACTGCTGCACGGTATGTCTTTTGTTTCGTTCTTGCATCAAATACACCGACTAGAGCGAGAGGGCGGGCAGTCATCCCGAAACATTCTTTACAGGAAACAATGAAACGGGAAGGGCAGCGCTAGACTGGGAATCAAGGCTAAGGATATGTCTGGCAGCGGCAAGAGGCATCGCCCACATCCATTCTTCTGCACCGGGCGCTAAACTGGTGCATGGGAACATCAAATCATCGAACCTCCTCTTAAACCGAGATCTCGAGGTCTACGTATCTGATTTCGGGATAGCCCCTCTGATGAGCCACCACACCATGGTGGTCCCGGGAAGGAGCGTAGGGTACAGAGCCCCAGAGGCAGTAGAGACGAGGAAACATACGCAGAGGTCAGACGTGTACAGCTTTGGGGTATTGCTGATGGAGATGCTGACGGGGAAGGGGCAGGAAGAAGTGGTGGATCTGCCCAAGTGGGTGCAGTCGGTGGTAAGAGAGGAGTGGACAGGGGAAGTGTTTGACGTGCAGCTGATCAAGCAGGATAACGTAGAGGAAGAAATGGTGCAGTTGCTGCAGATAGCGATGGCCTGCGTGTCCAAGCATCCCGACAGCAGGCCTTCCATGGAGGAAGTCGTCGCCATGATTGCCGACATCCCCTCCGGCAGCAGCCCTTCTTAGTTTATGTTTTAGCCTCTCTCTCATTCTTTGTCCTTGTCAAAAAATTATCTTCTCATTCACGGTCTTCAGAATAAACCGCCATTTTTATGTCTTTTTCTCCTTCTAGCAATCTTTGTGTGTGTGTTTTTCTCTTCTTCTGTGAATCAACTTAACTTAATGTTCTGTCTTCGGCCTACAGTCCTCTGCCTTTTTCTAGCATTTTAATTTTAAACTGCCATTAACCATTATATATATATATATATATATATATTCCAACTCTTGGCTTTGGTCTTTTATATTTCTTTTCAAACAATTTGTGGGATATATTTTCTCACCACCTAATCTGAATTTGAATTTGATATGGATCGTTCTATTTGTCGCATTATGGTATGATTATACTATTTTTTTATCTTTTAAATTTATAAGATAACCCCTTTTTCTTCTGGGATTTGGTTGATGTATGGTTCGTATATCAGTCCAAACTCTGACAAGATAATAGTTAATATTTTAAATAATAAACCATGGAAGCGTTAAAAACTTCACATTTGAAAATGCGGTATTAAAAAGGAATAATTATATATATATATATATATATAATACAAGGATGGGAATTCTCAACTGTAATAGCTAATACATTGGGATTGCGCGAGGGACAGCGGTAATCCTCTGGAACAAGCGGAAGCTTCGAGGGCTATAAGAGCAGACAGGTTTTTTCCTCTGTCGCACCTGTTTCTCGAATCTCTTCTCCCGCAGCAGCAGACGCGGTGGCCGAGGCCAAGTTTCCTTCCGCTTCGTCTCCCAGATCCAAATCCTTATACCGTCGTCTCTCCCTGCCTCTCCTGGTTCCCCCTTTCTCTCAAGCTTCTCTCTCTGTCTCGATTATTTTTTTTTCCTAGGGTTTCTGATCACTTGTGCCGGATCTTTGATTTCCGCCGTGATCTGTTGTGTTCCGAGGCATTTCGTCTGTTCCTTTGCTCTTCCTCCCCTGAATCTGGTTTCTTTTCATGATTGTAACACAGGTATTCGGGGTCTGACGAATGGCTTCGAAGCGGATTTTGAAGGAGCTCAAGGATCTCCAGAAGGATCCTCCTACAAACTGCAGCGCTGGTACTTCCTTACTAGGGGTCATTCTTCTTTTCCGTCACCTTTTCTACTGGTTAAATTGCGTTCCAGCCTGAATGGGTTCGTGATGTTCATCTCTTGATTATTCGATACGTGAAGTCTGTTTCCATTGATCTAGAGACTAGATCACCCATCCGCTTTAATAGTGGGTTTTTGTGGTCAAACGTTTGTTCTGTTCGGCTTTTGCAACTGAGGGAGGGTGTTGTTAGAGGCTGTTTACAGCATTTGGCATGAACATTTGTTCTCCTTGATATCAACAGAAAGTCAGAAACCATTGGTCCTTTGTAATCTTACTCCTAGTCTTGCTGTGAAGTTCTGCATGAGCATGGATGGTGGTTGGTTGTCCGTTGAAAGCTTCTTCATTTCTGCATATGTTTTGCTGTGGTTCCATAGATATTGTAAAAACTTCTGGATGGATTGTTTGTTGTATGAGTTCTATGACAACACCTCAGTGAACAGGTCCTGTGGCTGAAGACATGTTCCACTGGCAAGCCACTATCATGGGACCCCCCGACAGCCCATATGCCGGTGGAGTATTTCTGGTCACCATTCATTTCCCCCCGGATTATCCTTTCAAGCCTCCAAAGGTGTTTTCTTTGTCTAGTCTGCTTGGGATGGTGAATTTTTGTCCAGTTTGGGATCTTATGAGGCGTTTCTGTTCCATAGGTGTCTTTCAAAACTAAGGTCTTCCACCCGAATATCAACAGCAACGGAAGCATTTGTCTTGATATCCTGAAAGACCAGTGGAGCCCTGCCCTTACCATATCCAAGGTTTAATGTTTGTTTGATCATAGCTTGCTCTTGTCATTTTAGACCAAACACGCTGTGTACTGATGCGGGTAATGGTGCAACACCAGGTTCTGCTGTCGATTTGCTCACTGCTGACAGACCCGAACCCAGATGATCCGTTGGTGCCAGAGATTGCTCACATGTACAAGACGGACAGAGCAAAGTACGAGGCCACTGCACGCAGCTGGACCCAGAAGTACGCCATGGGGTGATGATGAGGAGTTTTAAAATGTAAAACTTTCCAATGCTTTTGATTTTATAAGAAGAAGTATCTAATGGGTTGGATCGGCTGCAATACATAATCGAACATCGCGCTGAATGGTTATTATTATGACTATTTCCCTTGTATTTTGTTTTCGTCGTTTTAATCTCGTGACTCTGCGGCTTCAAGTTTGGATTTTTCAGCTCATCGTGGGATATAATAATGGGTGTAATATTCGATTCACAGTGACCATAACATTGCATTATGAGTTCGATTTTCTCTGTTAACATAGAATAGAACGTGTTAAATAACTGCTCCTCTTCAATGGATGACGCATGAAAAGGGCCCGAAGGCTTTTGGGCTTTTGTCTACAGTAAGAAATACATGGGCTTCCTCTTCGATTGGCCCGTTAATATATTCCTCTTTGCTCTCCGACTTTCTTCTTCGATCGCCTCAGAGATGTCGGAAACGACGGGATTTCAGCAGACATGTTGGAGTCTGGAAGTTGAGCCTACAGATCTTAGTTCCTCCTCCGTAAGCTTCTGTTTCTGGTCTTCACTATTCGAAACCGTATTGCTTTTCAATTTCATCGAAATCGTTCTTTTCGCATAGGTTGATAAGTTTGATCCTTGCGCATTGAAGAAGAAAAAGAAGAAGAAAAAGAAGAAGACGACGACGACGACCGACAAGTCTTTCGGTCGTGATAAGGATGGCTTTCCCGACATCTTGGTCCCGAAAGCGAAGCTTTTGACGTGTAAGTCTGATTGATTCTGTTTATTTTGTTCAGAAGGGTTTTCATATGTTGTCCCCAATTAAGAATCTCTTGTGGAACATTTTGTTCGCTTTAGCTAAGTAGGGATACAAAAAGACAAGACTTTTGTTAGAGCTCTTTAGCTGATCATCATGGTCTGGTAAAATTATGGAACCTGAAGCTACTGATAGCCGGTTTTATTATAGATACGAAGTTCAATCACGTGCTGCCGCCTTGTCAAGATTCTGGAGTGGATTATGAATACAGGGAGGTACTCGTCTTTTTTCCTTCTCTCTAGCATTTGTGTTGATTTTAGCCGAGCCATGAGGCGTATGATCTGGTTTTGTTTCGAGTTACATGATTCTCTGCTGTCAACTGGTGTTCGTTCGGTTCCAAATGGACTCTGCAGCTGTTGAGTAGAGCATTATCCATGCTTCGGGAAAACAATCTCGAGGTTCCTGAAGAGAAGCGAAGAAGAGTGGTGATGATGCCTCCCCAAGTCCTTGCAGAAGGGATACATAATAATACAGTCTGTGTCAACTTCTCGGATCTCTGCAGAATGTATGCCCTTTATCTAATGCCCCGACAATCAGAACTGTTCATAAACCTGTCGTGCCGAAATGAATCCGGATATAAACCAGCCTTACCTCGTTGATTCAGGATGAACCGGAAGCCAGATCATGTGATGAGTGTCTTGCTGGCTGAGATTGGGACAGGAGGATCACTCGACAAACAGCAGCGTCTGGTGATGAAGGCTAGTGTTTCTCCAAAGGATTTCAAGGCCATGTTCCGCAGATACATTGGTAAAAAATTTTGTTTTGGGATTTTCTTTGTGGTGTTTTTTTTTTGTCTCGGATACAGAACCAGCCGCTCTGACATGGGGTTATTGGTATTAGATACGTATGTTGTATGCAGCTGTTGTAGAAGTCCTGATACAGCTCTGGCCGAAGAGAATCGTCGTTCCGTTCTCAGGTGTGAGATGGTAAGTGAATATCATAATATCCCTGATGTCGACTTCCTCTGATAAAGGGGAAACATATGGCATTCTTCTATTACAGATTCCTGGTTGTTCTTCTGCAGTGTGGCTCAGTAGCACCCATAAAGAACAGTTGAAGAACTGAACCTTCTGGGCCATAAACGGACGAGAAAATGCAGAGTTGCGCCGTAAGAGGTTTAGGACGGTTTCTCCTCTTGATCCGGAAGACATGTTCCTTATGGTCAGGTTTCTACTGGAGGACTGGACATGGCGGTTGCATATGTAATATATAATTGCAGTGTGGGGTGCATGAGTTGTAGAAGCTACTGGGCTCGAAACAGTTACTTCCTGTTTCTGCAATGACATAGAGATAGAAAGAAAGAAAGAAGTTGTGCTTCTAGTTTCATCAGTCTGGTTTCCTAAGACATGATTTACTCAAAGGAATTCTTTCTTGGCTTGCAAGTTATCAGCTCCAGAGAAAGATGAAACAAAAGGAAGAAGGAGATTCACAGAAATCTGAGATTGAGAAACAAATCACAAGTGAAGAAAGTGTATATGATGATCATTCTCGGTCGCCTGGAAATGAATCACATAATTGGGTGACACGTGGATATATTCTAGGAGATGAATATTCTAAAAAAATTTGAATGGCCCATGCAGGTTTCGAACCTGCGACCTTCGCGTTATTAGCACGGCGCTCTAACCAACTGAGCTAATGGGCCTCTTGAAATCTCCTTAGATTTTAAAATAAAACAAATAAAAGTTGTGCAACTAAAGCGGGGCCCACCAGAATGTCTTGGTCAAAGATTTATTTTTATTAAATAAAAGAAAGGCCCGTGTGCGACATCAGACGACACGTGGACACTTGAGTACCGCTCTCTTCCTCGTCAAAATGGAGTTGTCGGCCGATGGGCTCTGGATTTTCAAAATAAGATTGGTCTTCATAATGCATATTAATCAGACTATAATTTGTATGTATATTCTGATTAATTCAGCAGGCAAAGATTTTTTTAGTTTTCGACATTACACAGGTCACATTGATTATCATGTTCTGTAATAACCAAACTTTGTGGGCCAACAAGCTTATATGGGCCGTAAGGTGAGCCCATTAGTTTCTCTCTCTCCTTTTTTTTTTTTTTTTTTAAGGATTTAGCGGTTTATGTGTGCTCGAAAAGAGAGTGTAATACACACATGTTTACAGCCGCGGAAGCAAATGCCGTAGATATATCATAAGAACACCCCACACACACACACATATATAGACCTTGCATAATATGGGATAGATAAGAGGCTAGTAGAAAGTAAGGAAATGCCGTTATTGAAGGAGATAGAGTACTTGTTCTTGGCTTAAAAGCTAAGCTGCCGTGATCAGTTGATGCTGTACAATGGGGGAAAAAAAAGAAGAGAGAACAAGACAAGTGTTAATTATAATAAAAAGAGGTGGGTGGATGGGTGGGTGTATATTGTAAAACAAAATCAGAACCTGTCACAGCTGGTGGAAGGGCTGATGGCGAAAGGAAGGCGGACGCCGCACTTGGAGGGGAGGGAGGCTGCGTTGTTGAGGTTGAAGGCCGTGTAAGAGACTCCGTTCAGCGCGGCTTTCAGGCAGCGACACACTCCCTGCCGGTCCGACGCTGTCCTGGCCTGCCCGTTCAGTGCTCTCACTCCGTTGCAGCAGTTCGCCGGCACGCCCCCTCCCTGCGCCACGTATGACACGCACGGCATCAGATCACTTACCACCTGATTACATGTCACTGCCGCCGCCACCGTCACCATGCAAGCCACCGCCACCACCATGCTCACTGCTATCATTCCAGCTCTCTTCTTGCCGCCCATCTCTCTCTCTCTCTCTCTCTCGTGTTGTAATACAAGTGAGCGAGCGAGTGAGGGTTTATGTAGGAGGAGGGCTTGTGGGGGTCGGTGGGTGGTTGAGTTGTAATTCATTGCTTGGCCACAAGACATTTAAATGCTTCTCCAACCTAATAGAAATCAATGCTCCCATCCCATCTCTTCTTTTTTTTAAAAAAAAAAAAAACTCACGATTCAAATGTGGTGTGATGAAAAAAAAAAAGAGGACTTTTTGATACACGTACATGCATGCCATTGCATGCGTAACCCCTATTTAATATCATTGTTCTCCCAATAACAGATGTTTCTTTGGACGGACGCATTAAAACGGGAAAGGATTCACGTAATAATATATGATCGTAAATTGGGGTTGCAGCCTTCCTTTTATGTGGCGCGTCGTTAAAAAACACGGAAAACAGATTACCGTTTTAAATTCCACAAACCCTTGATTAATCAAATTCTCTTGTACGAAAACGTTAATAAAGAAAGGTCATAATTGCAGATTTCAGAAGAAACAGCTTCCTTTTCTTTTTTTTCTGGATCAAAGATTCTTCTTACATGGAACAGAACCGACATTCAGAATCAAGTTTGCCTTCCTAATCTACTTCTACATGTCCGTATCTATTATTCACCGAATGGCGGGGGGGTATTCGTTCCTACACCGCCTACGTTATCCCCCGCATGTGATTCAGGATCGTACTCCATACCATTCCCAGTTTTCTCCCACAAAACCCAGAAAAATGAAGCAGCCAAACCGACCGACCAAGTCTGTCTTTACGGATTAAAAAAGAGAGAGAGAGAAAGACAACCTGGTATCTTTATTCCGAGTTTCTGTTCCTCTTGGCCGCAAAAAGCTGGCGAATAAACGCAAACTTGCTTTTGGCACGGCTTGAGAACTCGGTGATGGCACCGTTGCTAAGGGATGAGGCCTTTTCAGGCTCAGGAGCCGCCGGTACATTTGGCTGAGGTGGAGAAGACAGCGTGAAGAGAAACTCGTTCAGCATTCTGATGATCTGGCTGAAGCTCGGCCTCATGTTAGGGTCCTCTACCCAACATGATTGAACTATGAATGCCATATTTGGAGATATGCCCTCCGGCATAGCCGGCCTCTCTTGCTGGAAAAAAAATTTACCAACGAATTTTAGTTAAAAAAACACTTGACCCATGAGGAACGCTCAAATGGATATGCACCTTAAAAGCTGCAGCATAAGCGGCTTGCAGGTTAGACATCCCCTCAAATGGCATCCGATTTGTCAGAAGCTCCCACAGCACAATCCCAAAGCTGTATACATCGACTTTGTTGTTGTAATGCTTCTTCTCTCCTTGACGCAGTGTCACAGTGCTGTAGAGCTACAGAGGATATGATATGATGACATTAATTTCATGCAAAGATCCATTCGAAAGTGATAGAAAATCAAGCACTGGACTAATGAGTAATAACAACTCCAGAACATGTTTAGTCATGGACTCGTTAGCTATATGAAAGGTGAATGATATACCATAAATTTTCTCACAAACACTGTATTTCACGACATAACATGCTGGATCTCCTAAGTGTAAACTATGGAAGTTAGCAGGCAACAAGCATCAGATCCCTACTAGGTTGGTGGGTATTACGTAAAGGCAGGTTTGTGACCAAAACCATGCTTTCTGGAGCTAGACCAAGCATTTGAAGATAACTTTATCGGTAAATTTCATCAGTAAACCTTGTTCTTCTAACTTAAGAAAGGCTCGTATGAAAGAACAAACCTCTGGAGCCATCCACCGATAAGTCCCTGTCTCTGCCGTCATCATCTCCGTCACTGATTCCTCCCTGGCAAGTCCGAAATCAGCAAGCTTCACAGATTTGTGATTCTCCGTGAGCAATAAGTTGTCTGCATCACCGGTTTCGACTTTCAGTCAGTCAAGTCAAACAAGCCCCAGCATGCATTTCCAGCACTCACATAGAGAAAGGGTTATTAACAAAACCTCACGGTAATGTAATGTTCAGACAGAAAAAATCACAGGGAATATTAGAGCAAATACCAGGTTTTAAATCTCTGTGTATGATCCCATTGGCATGTAGGCAGTCCATGGCCCGAGCAATGTCAAGAGCAAAACTCAAGGCCACACGTATATCCAACACCCTTGGGCGGATGCTGACCAGATATTTACGGAGAGACATCCCCGGAAGCAGCTCAGTTACTATTACCATCAGAGGATCTTTACAAGCTCCAATAAACTGCAGAGTTATTATAAGATAGCATCAGAAATGGTACCAAAAGAAAAAAGAGAGTTTCAGATGACGAGAACTTGCCTGGACAAGATTCTCGTGTTTCACCCGAGACATCATGTTTACTTCACGTATGAAACGGCTCTCAAGGGCAGATTTTTCTTCTGGATTGTTTCCACGGTGGAGAACTTTGATAGCAACAATCTGATTGCCGTACCTGAGAAATTTTTTCGATTTAAATAACTTTTACAAACGCAAAATACACAAGGATCATAGTCACTGACAGTTAGGCAATGCTGAGTCTAAGAGAATCAATGGCCAATGCACAAAACACAGAATAAACAGGAAGAAGAGCAAAAGAAGAGAATTGAAAAGATGTCACACTCATGCATTAACCGCAAGATTCTGCAGCTATAAGGTTTTGCCATAGCTTCTGAAAAACAGAAACAACAAATGGACGACAACACGAACAGAGATTAACTGTGTTTACATAGTTAGTTGCTCCAGTAGCATATGATCTCTCCACCCAAATGGACATATGAACACCACATTCATACCATGTAACCAGAAAATACACAGACAAACCAGTTTACAATGTAAGAAAAGAAAAAGATACCATCTTGCAAAACTACAGATAAACGAACATACAAACACCGTTTTCAGACAATGCAACCGATCTAAGAAATACTAGGACAGAGACTGAGCAGATTTAAAAAGTGGGGGGACAGAGTCGACAGACCTTCCTTGATAAACTTTTCCGTGAGCCCCTTCCCCAATTTTGGACCCAATGAACAACATTTTTGGATCGACGAGCAAACTCTCGTCGATTGACAATTGAGAAGTTCCCAATGATCCATTCTGTGACATCTTCGTTCCTCCTCCATCGCTCGAGAGCGCCTTATCGCAACTCATACTCGCTGAACCTGAAACTACATCCAAGCCCCTCGTTTTCAACTGCAGAAATCGGCAATTTCTGAGAAAATCTTACACAGCCCGCATTCATTCGCTTGTTTCCATCTACCTCAGCCAAAGCCTTTAAACCTTAATTCCAAAGACCCCATTTCTGTGGTGTCTCGCTATCCACGATTTCCCTGGAAAACCATCAATCGACCCGGGATTCAACAAAGATAAAGAATTTTAAAATTTCTACCCAAAAAGACCAAGATTTCCTGCGATTCCCCTTCCCCTTAATATGTGACCCGAGCGAAACTAGGCTCCAAGCTCGACGCTTTCTCTCTGCCGCGTGAGAAAGTTTTACCCGGTAAACCTAAACCCAAAGTCAAGAAGAAGCCAACTTACAGTCTTCTGGGTCAGAAATTTCCCCGAGAAAACGGAACCAACAAAAAAACCAAACCCAGAGAAAGTACAGATATATTCTCGACTCGAGATGGGATAAATCCTATGAATACGAGCGCTGGGACTCCTCCGGCGGGCTCGAATTCTCCTCCCCGAAATTTTTTTGCCGACGAATGTTTTTTGAAAAGTAAAGGGCAAAGATGGAGACGACGGGAACAAAAATATATTTGAGGAAATAAAAACATGAAAATGGAAGAAAAGATGGAGGGAGCCGTGTTTTTATAGAACAGTAAATATGGCCAATGAAATTCGGACACGTGTAGAGCAATGAGGGTATCGTCGATTTGGACATTCTTGGTTGAGGATGCTCGTGTGTACGGTCCAAAGAAAGCATAATCTGTCGGCTCGGCTCCGCTCGGCTTCACACAACTATATATGTGTGTGTATATATATAACAGACACGACAGATGTTCTAACGTTTTAAACTTATTTATATCAGTTATGTTTGTCATTTTGGTATTATTTTGTTATTTCAATCACTAATGTTCTATATTTTTCAATCAAGTTTATCGGCAGAGACAAACTATTCCAGATCTAAAAAACATTTTAGAGCTTTTATTTAGATTATTCACTAACAAATAATTAAAAATTAGTATAATATCTTTTTACATTTATTGATATATATTTTAATATTATCATATCAATAACTACATGACCAGATATACCTTCTCAGTACAACCTTTTTTTTTTAAATACATTTCGTACAAAGAGACTCGTTATAATTGATTTAGAGCTCATCATTAATAAAATATTTCTAAAAATAGTCACACTAAATTTTTTTTTTTTAAGTAGATGGGGCATATTGGTCGGCTGGTGTTGATAGGGTTGGTGGCTAAAGCCGGCTAATAGTTATGCTCTGCCTTTTGGAGTCAACAATATATTATATGTATATATGGTTTTGATTTTGTAATTTAAAGCACGTGCTTTTTTTATAAAACTGTGTATATAAATTCCAACACAGTGGACGTCATTTTTGTTATTTATTTCGTAACGCATGACTCTTGCTCAATGCTCTTAAGTCGTAAATTTTTATTCTCATATGTGTATATATATATGTATGTATGTATGTATTCGACGAGTTTTTATGTAGCGTCTAATAGTTTTTTTTTTCTCTCGATGGCAATAAAACCAGAAATTGATAAAAGAAGGGATGGGACAAAAGTAGGGTACAGCCAATAATATCATATGTACTTCTGTCACGTGGTTCACCATAACGTGGCCGAATCCAGTCGTCCAGAGTTCCCGTGGTGCCGGAACACCCAACTCCCTCCCTCCGTTCTTCCATCCAATTTTCAAATGCATTTCTTCTTCCTAAGATAGAGATCCGGCTTTATTACGTAATGTTAATCTAACAAGTGATGTATTGTTCATTACCTATTAATAAATCATTTCTCAAAAAATTAGCGAATGTTGTCCTAATTGATCACCGCAAATATTATCGTTATATATCGCATCCCTAGTCATTGAAAGAAAGAAAATTACAATAAAACCCTCTTTAATCCTCGAGGCTTCACATTAGTCAGAACTGATTTTGCTATGAGTTTTAAACGTCTCTCACTGTTTTAGTATAACTCTTAGTTTGTATTTGGTTTGGTTTGGTTATGTTAACTTTACTGCATGTAATGTATTTAGAGATTTCACTGATTATCCATATTGTAAGAACAATTTATATTTATAAGATTTACTGTTACAGAAAATCGTAATAAATGGGTGGTGGTATCACGTTAACATGGACCGTAGTGGTGTATTTTTAAAAGGCGGCTGTAACGATTATAATAAATAAGATGGTAGAAATGAGGTAAAATTCCTAAAAAACCTCCAACTTGCAAAAATATATACAAATAAACCTTCAACTTGAAAAGTTGTCATTCAATCTCCGAACTTGTAATTTATCACTGAATAAAACCTCGAACTTGTAAATTATTTCTCTAATAAACCTTTGACCACAATTTCAGACGATCGGAAATCCATGTATTAACGGATTGCTGATGTCACCTTATACACGTTATCAATTTTAATTTAAAAAATGACATCAGCAATTCGTCAATACGTAAATTTCCGATCGTTTGAAATTGTGGTCAAACCGGTCAAATGTTTATTAGAGCAATAATTTACAAGTTCAAACTTTTATTCAGTGACAAGTTACAAGTTCAGATATTGAATGATAACTTTTCAAGTTGAAAGTTTATTTGTATATATTTTTGCAAGTTGAAGGTTTTTTAGGAATTTTACCCGTAGAAATATGAAATCCCAACAAAGAAAATGGTTTGTTGCATGATTTTGTATTGTAACACGAGAGAGAGAGAGTGGGTGCCACGTCGGCGGGGAGAAGATATGGATGGATGTACCCACCCACCTACCAGCCCCTCGTTGACGTGACCTTCTCCAAACAATTATCTCGTTCACTTTATTCCTCCATTTTCCATATGAAATTAATTCTTAGGACACAAACCCAGACCCAGCATCACTTGAAACAACCACGCGTAACAAACCGCCTTTAATCAACGTTAATGCGATTCCTATTTCAGGCTTACAACCAAATCCCATCTTTTTATTTTTATTTTTATAAATTGAGATCAACGAACGATGTTAGTTCCTGTAGCTAGAATTAGGGGTGAGAAATTCGATTTGGGAATCTAGTCCCGAATCGTACCGAATCGATTAATTTAGTTTCGGTATTATATAAAAATACCGAACGTACAAAATTTAAGATACCGAACGGTTATTTGGTTCGAGAAATACCGAACGATATTTCGGTATTTTTATTATTTAATTAAAAAATATTTAATATTAATAGTTAATTGTGATATTTAATAAATATTAATAGTTTGTTAATGCATTGAGATTAATGTCTATTTTGTTTATTAATAATAACTAGTGGTGATATTTATTTTGTTTATCATTATCACCATCCAATAAAATTATTTGTTTTTATTAATTTTGATTCAAAGTTCTGTATACATGATATGATGTTTAAAGTGTCAAGTTTTGATCATATTTATAAAAGATTCAAAATTATTACGTTGAGACTCTTTAAATTTACATCAACACAATTTTTATTTGTTGGATTTCTTTATTTTTTTATACTATATGAATAAATATCTCATATATTATGAACTATTTCAAATCGTTTTTATTTCGATTCTTATCTGATACTTATTTATTAGTATCGTACCATCTCAAACCGTCATAATATCGAACCAAACCGTTCCGAATAATAAATGGTACTAATTTGATACCAATTTTATAATACCGAATAAACCGTTCCTGAAACGAACTGTTAAAATTTCGAATCGAATTTCGAAACGTCCACTCCTAGTTAGAATGATTTTGATTTCTCTTTTATCCTGTTAGATCTATGTTTTATTGTCCTCTATTTTTTTGGTCCCATTGTCATACTTCTTCTGTTTTGGTTCAGTTAGCGAATCAAAAAATACGGTATTTTTTTCTGATCTGAATCGTTCTAAATTTCTGAACGATATTATTTTTGAAAAATCGAATTATCTGAAACCGAACCGAATCAAAGTTAAAAAAACCTTATTTTTAAAAGAAAATCTACCTATTTTTAATAAAATGAAACCGAACCAGAACCGAAACAGAAGTAGACCGAATATCATATAAAAACTGATTAATGCTTATTTTTATAAAACGAAAAAAAAAAAACTGAACCGATACATTCATGTCCCAAATCCTAACTGATTCCGGAAATCGTACACCCCTGGGTTTTCTAATAAATCGTGTTATCAATTATTATTGTATCATAAATAACTCAAATTCTTTGTTGAGCCATCGGCCCACTTTCCAGTCGTTCGTGTTACGGCCCTAATCAAATGCTCTCTTTTATTTTTATTATTACACAAACCCATTCATAAATCAGAAATCCCATTCATAATTTGTAAAAAAAAAAAAGGGAAATTAAGACAAGGTATTCTTCTCCCTTGTTTTCCCTGTGATGCGTGTGTGGATGTATATATAATATATGTATAAATATATCATATTTACTAATACCATCATTTACTTACTGGTACGTAGTCCCACTAATCCACCTCACTACACATGTTCCTGAATATGTTTTATCTTGTCGGTCCACTCGAATCAAACACGCCAATCAAAACAACACTGATTTTGCTAATCATCGTTATATATAATATGGCCCATCGTGTTAGATATATGAAACATATATATATATAATTATATATATAGCCAAATGTATTTTATATGTAGGTTCAAACCGACGAGTGTAATGCACTCATGGAAATGTATTTTTAGGATCTCTATTTTCTAATCTTTACAATTTTAATTTAAGCGATTGTTACGGTGGCTTATCATTGTAGATATTTGCCAATAATTTATCGATAATAATTAGATTCCGAATATATTCTCCAATCGTGCACCAGCCTACTCTTTTATTTTCGATTCAACAGATAAAGTCAAACACGCCTACGACTGCTGCACGTGCGCACCGCACACGGCCATGCAATATATATAAATAAAGTATAATTATTTTTATCATTATGGGATATATGTTACTGTAGAATACCACATTATATATATATATATATTTGTGCTTGTTCTTTCCTTTCGTTGTCTCGTTGTTGGCCGTATAAATAAAGAAAATACAATATATTGAGGATAAAAACAGAAACCATTATGGAGGCTTTACGTAGCTGTCTCTCAGAAATTCGGAAAGACGGTAACTATTTAAACCATAATAAAAGAGATAAATATAAAAGAAGAATCAAATCTCAAAAAGATTTGATGAGTGACTCGGCAATAATAATAATAATAATAATAATAATAATAATAATAATAATAATAATAATAATAATACGACGAAGATGGTGGCCCATTCATCTAGCTACACATCCCCTTCCCCTACTTTTTTATACCAATATTGTAAGTTGTAACGATGACTGTTTTGATATTTTCATAAGAATCCGACTACGTTTTCTAAAACAAAAAACAAAATCAAAATAAATTATTAGGGGTATAATTGGTACATATATACGTATACAGATTCAGGGATACATATCAGTCGAAGTGAACAGAAAAATGATTAGGTATGACTTTACACACACACACACACACACATAATATATATATATATATATATAAAGTCATAAATTAGAAAGAAAGAACATGGTGGGTTGTACGTGTATCTAGGGGAGTAAAGGACAAACGACTTTATTTTGGAATTAAGATGTCGTTATATGCAATTTCCAATACATATACCATCCACATAACTCGATTACGTTAATGATTTAATTAATTATATCCCCCTTTTTTCATTTTCAAAGACCGATTTCTTAACCTCTCATTTTCATTCACGACGGCTTACGCATAAACCATACGATTCATCATCTCATCCTTTCCTTTCGTATTGTTCTGATTTTCTTTCTTGTGAATGCGTGTTGCTTTTGGACATGTTTTCTCCTTTTTCTATGAAAACAAAGTAACCATTTGACGAGGACAAGGCGTGCCCGACAAAAGGCTTCGAACCCTTTTGTTTTTTTTTTGTTTTTTACCATCACGTTGAAAAAGATAATTACATTTTGAAATTCGCCTTTTCCACCCTTTTATTTGAATTTCAGTGCCATTGGTTTGCAAACACAGAAGATTCAGTTTGAAGATTTTGTTGACTCGTCTTTCGAGCAATTTGTTGTGTTAAAAGTAAAAGGAGTGGATGTTGTCGGAATCTGCAAACGGAGGCCGAGAATATCTACTGTCAGATTCATATAGCACGTTTCGTTTAAAAATTAAAAATTATAAGTCAGTTGAAAACGAAAGACGAAAAACAAGAGAGAGATGCTCTAGAAAGAGAAAGAGTATGACAGAGAGAAGAAATAGAATGTTCTTCGTATTTCGTATGTTACAAATGAACTACATCACTGACCTATTTATAGAGAAGTATAAGGAACTTTTTTATAGTGAAGAAAAGTCAACTTTTTCATAGTGAAGAAGGATATAATATGAGTCCCATTAGATAATATGGATCACACTAGATATTTACTTGTATATTTACAAAAAAGTCTACTTACTATTCTTGAATACTTTATTTTTTTTTTATTTGAAAATTAAGTTTCTCGATTTTTATAAGCGAAATCAGTGCATAAATGATGTCCAGAGAGTCGAGTGTGAGTGTAGAAGTGTAGTTCTTTTTTTGAAGCTGGATGGGATAATGAACAAATTTTATACGAATAATTGATGTGATCCATGGCTATGGCTATGAATTGATATTTTGATAATTATTTGATTTCATTTTTTTGTTAGGAAATAAAAAATTTAATATTCGTGTTTATCCTATAAAATAAAGTCGCTAACAGATTTCCATTTACTATATAAAACACAAACTATTACGAGGCTAAAAAAAAAACCAATATGGAAAAGATAGGGTTTGTAATAAGACCCACGAATGATTTTCAGTTCCTTTGTTTTGTTTTGTTGGTTGTCGTTTTATTATATATTATATATTGTCATTTGTCATTTATCGACTTAAAATTGGCCCAACTGGATTTATTGCACTTCTTCTGCCTAAAGCAAAATTGCTCTTGTTTTTCTCCTTCTTGTGCGTGTATGCATGCACATACAAATGTACACACGTAAATAAATTTTAAAAAAAATATTATATATTAATAATATGCTGACGCATGTATTTGTTTCTGTAAGTATATATGAATACATGTATGCACACGACCTAACTTCTACAAACTATATACGAATACTTGCAGATGCCTCAGTCACCTCCATTACACTGTTCATTGACTCATTCCTTTTCATTCATTGTAGTCTGTTTTCAGTGAACGATTTCCCCCCCAAGAAAATTAATCACCGGATTTTATTTGCAAATAATATGAATAATGTTTTTTATATTTTATTCAAACCGATGCATGTTCGTATAACCGGTGAGAAAAATATATATCTACGTATCAGATATATAATATAATAAGACAATTTATGTAAGAGGGGAAAGTTTGAAGTAAATGAGTATTACGTTACGCAGTTTAAAAAGCGGGGAAGATCAAGAGGAGTTGAGATCAATCCAGATTTGCTTGAAGACACTGATGATAACCTGGTGATACTCGTCGGAATTCAGACAGAGATAGCAAGCCAGAAGCTCTTCCAGATCCTCCGAAGCTCTGATGTTGTTTTCCGCAATCATCTCCACCATCGATTCCTTGAAATCCCTCCTCGGATTCACCGACGCCTTCACCACCGCCGTGCTCGTAATGCCCGCCGCTCACCGATACCCTCGGCGAGCTAAGCCTCAGCCTCACCCCCGGCGACGCCGTTTTCCTCCCCGAGAGCTTTCTGGGTTCGGCGCTCTGTTTCTTCGCCGGCGGTTTTGTTATGATCCGACGGAGATCGACCTCCGGCGACTTGGGCGCCGCCGCCTTGGAGTTACAGCTGCAAGGGCTGGGCCAGGAGCCGCTTTTGTCGTTGGGGAGGAGAACGTGATCGGACCGGAGATCCGGGGAGAAAGTTCCGCCGGTGACGGAGCTATCGCCGGAGGTGGTGGAGAAATCCGGCAAGCTGGGGGAGTAGTAGTGTCTCGACGAGGCCTTGGAACGACAGCTGCAGCCGGAGGAGACGGCGGTGCTGCGGCGGCGGAGGCGGCGAGAAGTGGAGGGCGTTTTGTCGGGGAGGGAAGAGCTGGTGGGCAGGAGGGGGAGTGGACTGCGTGACGTTTTGGGGGAGGGGATAGGGAAAGCGTGCAGTTTTCTATGGGGGGAGGTGTTTTGCCGAAGATTTCTGGACCTCCCCAGGTGTCGGAGCTTGGAAAACCAGGCGTGGGGGATTAGTTCTGACAGCCTAAACTTGTAATTACCCATCGAATCCAACAATCTCTCTCTCTCTCTCTCTCTATATATATATATATATATATCGAGTGTGTGGGTTGAGCGAGTGAAGAGGTGAAAAAAGAAACTAAGGATAGCGAATATAAAGAGAGGGAGACTCTTTGTGTGGGGTCCACATACGTAGAAAAACACACACCTATATATATATATATATATTATATATATATAGAGAGAGAGGGGGGGTTATAGGTAAGATGCTGTCCATGCCGATTCTGTGTTGGATTCTCATAATTATGTTGACAGAGACAATGACACCTTTTTTTGGTTTAACGTATACACCTTCGGTCCATTCATTAACCAACCATTCAAAACCGGATTAGCGGTAAACCCACCAAATCCAATCACTAAAAATGTCAACAGCATCTGATGATTGCTGCTACGCTTTTGAAAATCTAATTCTTAAAATAAAAATAAAAAAGATTTCATGCAATTGCAGCGACACACATCTTTGTTTCTGTTGCTATTATTTAGCCATTGATCGAGTGATTGGGTCCATATTCGTTCTTTGACTGCTTGGAATATAGCGAATGGCCACGTGGTATCTTCTGATTGGCTGTTTAAAATTCTCGCCCCTAAATATATTAAAAATCTAAATTCGGTCCAAAATTAGGGTTAGGGCCCAATTATCCATCGCCAAATTGCTTCCCTCTACCCCCCCCCCCCTTTTTTTTTCAATTAAACATGTTACGAGACGACCCACCACCATGTATGTAAACTAGCAAGTAGCAACATTATCTTGTATTTGGAAAATCTTATGATAATATACTAGAAACTAATATATTTATTTAACATTTAAAAAAAACAGTTCGAAACTGTAATGGTCTGTGAAAACTATTGCGTCTGTTAATTTTATAATTAAGCCCATTTTTAATGCAATTTTTATTTATTTATTTTAGTTGGTTAAAAACGCATTGGTTGGTGATAGAAGCAGCATAAGCATTGGGGAATAAAAGGGGACCAGGAAATATTCATAAATGATTAATTGTCTTTTGTGTACCGAGAAAATGGATATTGTTGAAGGATCCAAACGAATCATATATATATATATACACATATATAATATAATGAATTTATGTACATATCATGACATCCAAAAATTCATTACATCTCTCATTGGACACATCTGGATTTCGGGCTTTTATGTTGAAATGTTGCATATGAATGAACATTTGGAAACTCACGAGAGAACCTGCAGATAAGACAGCGACAAAGGATAAGGAGGAAGAGTGAATGCAAATGCACGTGTATTGTATAATATTGGGCCTAATTTATATGTTTAGTATTTTATTGGGCTATAATATGTATTTAATATTTCTTTGGGCTATATAATAAGCTCATATATTTATTTGGTCCATAAATAAAAGCCCAATAGTTGTATTGCGTTAAAAAAATATTCAACACACCGTCCTGATATCTGGAAATAATATATAATATTTCAAGAACTAGCATGCTTTCTCCGATTGGGTGAAACAAAAAACAATATTCGAATATATATATATATATATATATATATATATATATGGAAAAAGTTAACTTTGTTGTCAAATTATGGAAATCATTTTTAAAACGTAATTATAATATTAAAATGGAATCGGTGCCCAGACAAAAAAACCTGCAGCCACTTGTCATATTGGTTAGTCAGCATTTAATTATCTTGACCTCGTCATTTATTTGTTAATTGTTACTACTTGTTTTTGGCGAGACGCTCTGTCCTAAAAAGCAACATTCGTTATTTAAAATAAGAAAATTAATATTATTACAGAATCCTATTTGGATTTCTTTTTCAATTAGATTTTTTACTTCATATGAAAGACTTTAAAATACATTGTAAAATAATTACTCTATTTAGGGTAGATTTTTACCAATATTTCTTTTTCTAGAAAGCATATTATTTTTTTAATCTTTTGTAAAATAGGTGAGTATTAAGAACAGATCCTTACCACAATGTAATAACCTTTCCCATTTCGAAGTTTTCATCTTATTACAACCTAATTTCTTTTTGGAAATTACATCAAATGTCGGATTCATATATTAAAAAAAAACTTATATATAATAAAAACAAACAAAGTATATGATATCCATTTTGGATAACCTACTGGTAATATAACATTCAAAATCTGTTTTTTAAATCTAAATGTGGAAAAAAAATATTCATCTAAATTCAACTATCCATATAGTTGGGTCAAATAATTTGTGAATTTTTGGATAAAAAAACAAAATATATGACAACCTATCACGCTAAAAAGTCAACAAGTTATAATTTTAATATATTCGAGTATTTTTTTATAAAAATTTAGGGTGCCTCGGTTCTCTTTCATGCGATCTACACAGATGCCCTTGGAGATACGGCATACGCGATCGACACGTGTACGGTCCTAATGCAATTTCACGTCTCCATCTAGAAAAAATTGGGGTTGAAAACAGAAGCAAAGAAAAAAAAAGTGGCTTACGTCATCGCGAGAACGAGGGATAAATTCAGGTGAATTGACGGAACTACCCCCTCGTCTCCTACCTCAGCCCTTCCTCATACGTATATATTGATGTTCATATATCATATACGTAAGATCTCTAATCACAACTCAGCTTATCTCTTATCGCTTCTATTAATATCGTTCCGAGGATTTCCATTATCAAGTTGGATTTAAAAAAAAAAAATTAACTGGCGTTGATCAATTGGGATTTTTGCAGGCAATGGTTACCCGAATTTCAGTGTTTGGGTCTCGAAATTAACGAAGAAGAGATCCGGCATTTATCATCCGAGGGCTGGATATATAGAACGGTTCCATGGTGGAATCCGGCGCCGGCACAGGGGCGTCGGCGGCGGAGGAGATTCTGCCCGAGAGACGCTGTGTCTCTGCCGGGCTGCTTTTCGGGAAGTACGAGCTGGGGAAGCTGGTGGGTTGCGGGGCCTTCGCGAAGGTTTACCACGCGCGTGACGCGCGTACGGGTCAGAGCGTGGCCATCAAGGCCGTGAGCAAGCAGCGGCTGGCGAAGGGCGAGCACCACGCGCTCGTTAAGAGGGAAATCGCTATCCTGCACCGCCTGCGTCACCCCCATATCGTGCGCCTCTTCGAGGTCCTCGCTACGAAGACGAAAATCTATTTCGTCATGGAGTTCGCCAAAGGCGGAGAGCTCTTCGCGAAGATTTCCAAGGGGAGGTTCAGCGAGGATCTCAGCCGTCGGTATTTCCAGCAGCTAATCTCCGCCGTCGGATACTGCCATTCCCGCGGCGTGTTTCACCGGGATCTGAAGCCGGAGAATCTCCTCCTCGACGAGAAACTCGATCTCAAGGTCTCCGATTTCGGACTCAGCGCCGTCAACGATCAGATCCGGCCCGACGGACTTCTCTACACCCTCTGCGGCACCCCCGCCTACGTGGCGCCGGAGATTCTCGCCATGAAAGGCTACGATGGCGCAAAGGCTGACGTCTGGTCGTGCGGCGTCGTTTTGTTCGTCCTCAACGCCGGTTATTTGCCCTTCAACGACCCCAATCTCATGGTCATGTACCGGAAGATCTACAAGGGAGAGTTCCGCGTCCCGAAATGGACATCGCCGGAGCTCCGGCGACTTCTGACCCGGCTTCTCGATACGAACCCGGGGTCGAGGATCGCCGTCGATGAGATCATCAACGATCCGTGGTTCAGACAGGGATACGACGAGAAAATGTCGAGATTCCACCACGAGGATGCCGATTTGAAGCTACCATCGAGCCCTCGGGGCGGAGAGGAGAGGGGCAGGAGGCGGGTGAACGCCTTCGACATCATATCAGGGTCACCGGGATTCAATCTATCGGGCCTGTTCTCGGACAAGAGCGAGTGGGAGGGGATGGAGAGGTTCGTGTCGGGGGAGACGCGGGAGAAGGTGATGGAAGAGCTGGAGGAGGTGGCGAAGGCGGAGAATCTGACGGTGGTGAAGGAGGAGGAATGGGGGCTGAAAATGGAGGGGCAGAAGTGTAAATACGTGATGGTGGTGGAGATATACAGGTTGACGGAGGAGCTTGTCATGATAGAGGCGAGGGTGGGAGGATGCGGCCGTGAATTGTGGAGAGATACGATACGGCCTCGTCTTCTTCGGCTCGCTCACAACAAACCCCTCGCGTTGGATTAGACGAACCACAGGCGGCGGAGGTACTTAGCGTATTAGGTCAAAATTTTACATCTCGGTCGGTCAGAATCTGTGCAAAATTCAAACCGAAGTTATTATCTTATCTGCCTGCCTGTGTGTAATTGTTGGTTCTGACAAATGTTGTCTGGAACTGGAAAATTCTGGATTTTTATTTTTATTTTTCCATTTTATGATGATGGGTTTAGGCCATTGCAAGTGCAGACGTCGATTTCATATCCCTTTTTTTGCCAGATTTAGGAGCCCAAAAGTGAGCTTGGTCGGGGTCACATTGTCCATGGCAATGGTGGAATCAGGTGGTGAATTGTTAACATTGATGGGAATATAATTATTTCATCTGTCCAGAAACTAGATTGGGATGAAAAGAGAGTTTAACTAGAAAGGTGTTGGCTTTATGTTATGGCGCTGTACTTCTCATTGAAGCAAAGTGAAATTAATTTGTAGGACCCAAATCTCCAACAATTCCCCCCTGTGAATAAATTATTCTCATTCATACGATATTATTATAGTCCAGCCTAAAATAATTTGTACGAAGGGGCCTGCTTGTTTTTAAGAAGGTTTCGAGCGGAAGGATTCATGCAGCCCGCAAGAGTCACGGGCCAGTCCTCGAGTTGCGTGTGTATATGTATATATATATATATGTATCAGCACGTGTTTCACGTTTATAAATTGAGAAAAAGGTACAGACGTATAATAAAGTTTCTAGTAATAATTGGTGTGCATGTCACTCATGAGATATTAAGGTATTAAAATTATACGAATACACGTAACTGTGTTGTGTATGTTACGTGGGTGTTGTCATGACCCATTACTACATTTAACTAAATCCATGGGCCGTCTCTAATCCAAAGCCGAGCCCATTTGGAGGACTCTCCATTTAATCATAGGATCCCTCTTTTTTTTTATAAAAAAAAAAAACAAATTCCTTAAATAATGTCCGAATGCCAACATATTATATGTTCCAATTTATGTCATTTTAAGACTAGATGTTACCGAAGAAATGGCTGGATTTATTTCCAACCTACATCTTTGGCTCCAACATGTCAGTGTGAAATTCCGTAATTTGCATTGAATTTTCAGAGAAATTTCTTTTTTTTTTGTTTCTCTGAATTCCATTTTTTGTTGATAATTATTATTTTTACATCGATTTCCAGATGCGAAAAAAGGGAAACGAGAAAAAGGATGATAGAGAAGAGGAAGCAAAACGCGACACATTGAAGACTCTCTCCTCTCGACAAAATCCCAATTTTCGCATCTTCACTTTCTCTACCTTTTTCTCTTTGTGCCGCCATCGCCACCCTGTTCCACCACCGCCGCAACCGCTGCGTCTTCACCGGCTCTCTTCGCCGTCCTTCTCCTCTCCTGATTCCCTAGGGTTTCCGCTTCCGCCTCCGCTTCTCTCTCCATCCAGGGTTCTCCGAGCTGGATTCTCTACTCTTCTTCCGCTCAATCTCCTTGCGCCGCTGGTGCAGCGGCTTCGTTGATTGATCTCGCTTTCTTCGTCTCCGCCTCCTTTTCGTTCTCCTTTCTTATCCAATCCGAACGAGCAAGTGAGGGCAGTGGATTTGATTTGTTTGAATTCGGGGTGTTTTTTTCTTTTTCCTTTTCCCGATTTGGATGGCATTAGGGGACTTGATGGTATCTCGGTTCTCGCATTCCTCGGTCTCCGTTGTCACCAATCACCACTACGACGATGACTGCGCCTCCTCTGCCGCTTCCAGTCACGGCGATGGCGATTCGTCCATCGCCTCGCGTAGAAGGGATTCCGAGGCCGCGATCAGCAGCTACGGAAATGCCACGACGGCCACCGCCGTCTCCTCCTCCTCTTCCACCACCACCAGCATGGCTTACTTGCCTCAAACTGTCGTGCTCTGCGAACTCAGACATGACGCATTCGAGGCGTCTGCGCCCTTGGGACCTTCCGAGAGCAGCATAGTCTCGAAATGGAGGCTTAAAGAACGAGTAAGTCTTCAGCTTTTTGGATAAGAGTATAATCTTGATAGATCTCTCTCCCTTTCCTTCTATCATCCCGGTTTTAGGTCGCTCCCTGTGTTTCGGGTTTTAGGAGATAATACTATCACGAATTTGTTTCTTGTCACATAGGATGAATAGGTATCTAGAACGATCGTATTGTTCATATAATGCGGTAGATATTCACTACACTGTCTCCTTTAGTGCTCTATTAGGTGGGGTGATATGATTTAGTCTGTTTGTCCTAAGGAGGTTATGTTCATGTTTTAGTTCAGACATGGTTAGTGATGAAGGTACAAATGCACAAAGCAAACTGCCGATGTTCTCACGATATGAGCTTTGAATTTATACTGAACTCAAATGTCTACCTAGGATCTATTATGTATTACCTACTTTAGCGAAGCCGGGTACTCGAGTCTGTCGCTGTTGTCCTTGACTCTCGTTCCCCTTCTATGCAGATGAAAACAGGATGTGTAGCTTTAGTTCTGTGTTTGAACATTAGTGTTGATCCGCCGGATGTTATCAAGATATCTCCTTGTGCAAGGATGGAGTGCTGGATAGGTTCAAGCTTTGGACATCTCAATCCTATTACAATTTTTTTTTTGCGTTTGTTTTTTTTCCTATTGCCCCTTATTCCATTTCCCTCTCGTGTCTTTGACGACAGATCCATTTTCTATGGCCCCTCCAAAAGCGCTTGAGACAATTGGCAAAAACTTGAGCTCTCAATATGAGAGATGGCAACCGAGGGTGATGACTTTTTTTTCCTTTCCCTTGATAATTATTCTTTTGAGTTCACTTTTTTCATCTGTATCTGTCCAATATTTTCAGGCTCGTTATAAGGTTCAATTAGATCCTACTGTGGATGAAGTGAGGAAGCTCTGTTTGACTTGTCGTAAATATGCAAAGACAGAGAGAGTTCTCTTCCACTATAATGGGCATGGTGTGCCAAAGCCTACTGCAAATGGTGAAATCTGGGTGTTTAATAAGGTTGATTTTTTCAGATTTCTTTGTATCATCATCGTCTTTGGTTCCTGTTCGTTTTTCTTGTTACAAAGTGTCGATTCATTTTCTGTTTGAGCAGAGTTACACTCAATATATTCCCTTGCCAATCAGTGAGCTTGATTCCTGGTTAAAGACACCGTCAATCTATGTTTTTGATTGCTCTGCTGCTGGGATGATTGTCAATGCTTTTGCAGAGGTAAATTGATCATCTCTTTTGTCATAATATACGGCCAGTTTTAGAGTTTGTGGCTTGATTTGTTTAAGTATTGGTTTAGCCTTTGGTGTTTTATAAGATGGCCAGATATTATTTTCTTATGTGGTAGCTTCATGAGTGGGGTTCTTCTGGCTCTTCTGGTTCCTCGAGGGACTGCATTATACTTGCTGCTTGTGAAGCACATGAGACACTTCCTCAGAGCGTTGAATTTCCTGCTGATGTGTTTACTTCTTGCCTCACAACACCTATCAAAATGGCGTTAAGATGGTAAAGCCGCTTTCCATTCCTGATTTCTTTTGAATGTCTGTCCCAGGGTCACCTTTTTTAAAATTATCGGTGCATTCCAATTATAAAGGAAGTGTTAATTCTATCAGTCTTTATGGTAGTGTGTTTAGCACCTGCTGATGTGTTTACGTCTTGCCTCACGACACCTATCAAAATGGCGTTAAAATGGTAAAATCATTTTCCATTTCCGATTTCTTTTGAGTGTCTGTCCAAATGTTATCATTTTTTTTCCCAAAACATCTCTGCATTTTGATTGTAAGGGAAGTCAGAAGTGCTAATTTTATCATGCTTTAAGGTAGTTTTCTTAGCATGATCCTGCTACTTCCCAAGGATTAGACCAAAAACATAGTGGTTAGGTTATGTTATTTGCATGTTTTTATTAGAATAGCGTATCCTGCATCCAGTGTATCAATCAGGCCATACAGCGTTACTTGTTTACGTGGTAAAGTTGACTGACATGGTTTGCCATGGATTTTTCAAGTATTTGCATGGTACATTGCATGGTGCATGGTAGTTCGGATGAAATAAGAAAGAAGGGTGGTGATATTATTCTGATTAGTATCCCTTACCCCCTATCGTTGTCACTTTCTATTTTTCAACATTTTTTTCCTGTGCTTTTACCATAGGTTCTATCTTTCTGTAATATTTTTATTTTTACGTTGTTGCTTTGGTTTAGCTCCATTTGGAAACGTGCTGTTTTTGGCTTTCAGAGTTTACAAGACTGGGTTTATTGTGCAGGTTCTGCAGGCGTTCCCTTTTGAAAGAAATCATCGATGAATCGCTAATTGACAGAATTCCTGGTCGCCAAAATGACCGTAAAACACTGCTAGGAGAGTTGAATTGGATTTTCACGGCAGTTACCGATACTATTGCTTGGAATGTTCTGCCCAATGGTATTTCTTATAACTTTCTATAAATTGTAAAGTTTCAATCTGTTTATTTTAAACTCTGGTCTGTCTTTCTACGTTACATCATGATTCATGAATGGTAGTTTGCCACTGCAGATCTTTTCCAGAGATTGTTCAGACAGGACTTGTTGGTTGCTAGCCTTTTCCGGAATTTCATACTTGCGGAGAGGATTATGCGCTCCGCAAATTGTTCTCCAATATCTCACCCTATGCTGCCACCTACGCATCAACATCATATGTGGTACTGAACAAAACCCTTTTTTTGCAGTTTGATAGGAGTGCCTGCATATAGGTTTTTCCTCAGCTAGTTGCTCCATGTTTGTCAGGGATGCATGGGACATGGCTGCTGAAATCTGCCTTTCTCAGCTTCCTCAATTAGTTGAGGAACCGAATGCAGAGTTTCAGGTCCGTGTTCTCTAGATAATATCTATTTACTTGCATAAGATTATGCTTGTGTTTTTTATAACTTTTTTGTTTCCTATTGTTAGCCAAGCCCTTTTTTTAGTGAGCAACTGACAGCTTTTGAAGTGTGGCTTGATCATGGATCGGAGCATAAGAAGCCACCGGAGCAGTTGCCTATTGTTCTTCAGGTGCAGCCTGAGCTCTATCTTTGTGCCCATTCTTTTGATTTTTTTTCAGGGAGTTATCATTGGGTAAAATTTTCATTTGTAACATGATATCTATTTTTCCAATAATATGATTATTATTTTTCTTATTCTCTGAAAAAGAGATCATAATCATTTTAATTCATTCATGTTTTTGTTTGGATATGAGTATTACCCAGAGAAATTTATCGGCTCCATATGGTCATTTCGTCATATATGTATTTGCAAAGTAACATTTCAGCTTATTTACGGAGTCTAATTATGCCATCGATTTGTTTCAGGTCTTACTTAGTCAATGCCATCGGTTTCGTGCTCTTGTGCTTCTTGGACGATTTCTTGATATGGGTCCTTGGGCTGTAGATCTGGTATACATCTATGAGTTGAACTCCCATTTATTTACTTAGGATAGGTTTAAACAGTCCATTCCTTGTTCTCTCACGTATTTCTCCTCACATGTTTGAGTCAATATTCTTCTTCTAGGCCTTATCCGTTGGAATATTCCCTTACGTTCTGAAGCTTTTGCCAACAACCACAAATGAGCTGCGGCAGATTCTTGTATTCATATGGACAAAGATTCTTGCCTTTGACAAGGTACATATTTGGTGTTTCAAGAGCTATTGATTGGAACCCACTGGCTGTTTGCAACATGTCTGCTTTTAGCTTCGGCTGCAACTTTGCTGATTCCTTTCGTGCTAGCTTGGTGGTGTGGCTCTCCTTCACACTGTCTTTGCTAAAGTATTATGTAGTTCACAAAATTATCCTGAGATTAACGACAAATTCCATACATTTACTATTTGATATTTTGCCTGTGTGTTATATCTTATTCATGGACACCAAAGCTGGTTGTTGATCATGGTCGTAATTCTAAGCACTGATAACTGAGATGTCTCTTTGTCTTCAGTCATGTCAGGTTGATCTTGTGAAGGATGGTGGTCATGCATATTTCATCAGATTTCTAGATAGCTCAGGTGCATTTCCTGAACAGCGGGCTATGGCTGCATTTGTTTTGGCTGTCATTGTGGATGGTCACAGACGAGGCCAGGAAGCATGTCTTGAAGCTAATTTAATCTGTGTGTGTCTGGGGCACCTTGAAACACCCCTACCAAATGATCCACCGCCAGAACCTTTGTTTCTACAATGGCTTTGTCTTTGTCTTGGAAAGTTGTGGGAAGATTTTGCAGAGGCCCAGATAATGGGTCGGGAGGCCAATGCTTTTGTTAGATTGTCTCCTCTGCTTTCTGAACCTCAGCCAGAGGTGCAGCTTTACTTTGCGCTTAACTACCTTGATCAGATTTTCTGTAGTATCCCCTTTGGATAGCAGTCTAACTGCAAACAACATCATTGTTTTGCAGGTTAGGGCTGCTGCTGTATTTGCCTTGGGTACCTTACTCGACATTGGATTTGACTCTGGTAAAAGTGTTGGAGACGATGAATTTGATGATGATGAAAAGATTAGAGCAGAAGATACTATTATCAAAAGTCTGTTAAATGTAGTTTCTGATGGGAGCCCGCTTGTCAGGGCAGAGGTTGCTGTAGGTATGAAAACATGCTTCCCTTGAGCATTCATAGTTTTGATGGTTCTTAATTCTTAATGTCATCTAAGTTCGAAAAAAAAATGTGTCTGATCTAGTTA